GTAGTAGTCGTAGTAGTAGTCGTAGTAGTAGTAGTAGTAGTAGTAGTAGTAGTAGTAGTAGTAGTAGAAGTAGTAGTAGTCGTAGTCGTACTAGTAATAGTGGTAGTAGTAGTAGTAGTAGTAGTAGTAGTAGTAGTAGTAGTAGTAGTAGTAGTAGTAGTAGAAATAGTAGTAGTCGCAGGAGGAGGACGAGGAGGGAGAGGAGGAGGAGGAGGAGGTCGAAGGGGATGATGGTGATGATGAGGAGGAGGACGAGGAGGGAGGGGAGGAGAAGGAGGAAGAGGAGGAGGAAGGAGAGGACCAGAGGAAAAACCAAGATGCATCAACGATGTTGGAATCTATCCCCCCTCCAAGCTCCCCCTTGATGTGCTCTTACAAAGAGCTCATTTCCAGTGAGAGAAGTGCGCCGTTGGGAGACAACCGTTTGAAGATGCTAATTCGTGCCAGGACATTCAACGCCACGAATCAACCTGACCCTTACGTCTTGACGGTCGTTCATCGTGCCAGAACACCTGGGATTTCAACACCGCGCATGAACGTGACAATCCTGAATCGTTCCCAAACACGATTTTTGGTACGTTGCCCATGCATCCCAATGAACATCTTGCAATTTTTATTAACGAATGTGCGCGGCGCTAAGGCCATACTCACATTTGAAAACGACCCGCCCTCAATCCGTGGAGATCTAGCAAATGTTCAATACTAATGTGCTCGGCGCCAAGGCCATAACCTCATTTTGAAAACGAGCTCTGAAACACTGTGCGCGGCGCTAAGGCCAAAGCCGCCCTCAATCCGTGAAGCTCTTGCAACTTTTTGTTTGCTAGAAACGAAATTGTGCGGCGCCTATTCTACCTAGAACCACACCTTGAAAACGAACCACCCTCAATCCTGGAAGCTTTTGCAAATTTTTGAAACGAATGCGCGCGGCCCTAAGGCAACAGCCTCATTTTGCAAGCGACTCGCCCTACATCTGTGAAACTGTTCTCAGTTTTGAAGCTTGGTCCATCAATGGCAAGGAAGTCTCAAGCGAAACGCTGGGCCCGCCCTTCCGACTTGGATCGGGGTGCGACAGGCTCGGAACCATTCATGAGGAAGAAATGGAGGAGAAGGAAGAGGAGGAGGAGGATGAGGAGGAAGGTTCTGGCAGGGGCCTCGGCGGGCTTGCAACCCTCGTCAGCACCGCTGCCCTCGGGACGCGGCGTCCCGGTGCTGCTGGAGCTGGGGTCCTCGCACCAAGAGGAAAAGGAGTGACAGGAGGAGGGTGAGCAGGGTGAGGCGGGAAGGTGGGGGAAGGCGTTGGACTGGGGAGGAGGGGGGAAGGGACGGGGGCAAGTGGATGAGGCGAGGGGGAGGGGGGGAAGGCGTGGGGAGGGATGTGGGAGAGGAGAGAACGGGAAGGGAAGTAAGAGGGGGGAGGGCAACAAAAAAGGGGGGGAATGAGGTGCGAGGGGAGGAAGGGGAGGAAGGGGAGGCGGACGGAAAAGGTGGAGGAATAGGAGATGGGGGCGGACACTTTCCTGCCCTCTCCCTGATCATCCGTGCGCCGTCGCACGTGCTGTGGGGAAGACGGCATGGCACGCCTGATCAGGTGAACGGAGCGCCTGCAGCAGCCCGTTCCCCGACCAGACGACGCGCGGGGCTGGGAGGGCGCTAGTCTCCCGCTGCGAGCGGATCCCCGGACGCCGGCGCCATGGTATCGCCAACCCGAGTGGGCTTTTGCTGCCGCCGGCACTTGCTATCCCGCCCTGAACGCGGGCGGCGTGACGTAGCGAGCCGCGCGGAAGGTGGCGCGGCGCTGGGCGCGCGGCGCGACCTACAGAGCGGTTCGCGGCGCGGCCCGCGGCACGGCGCGCAGCGTGCCGTCGCAACCCAGGCTCTCGAAGTGCTGCTCGGCGGCGCGGCGCCTGGGGCGCGGGGCAACGCGGCGACGGGCGACTGAGAGTGGACCGAATCCAGCCGTGAGCGACGAGGCCCTCTTGAGTCATCCTGCCATGAGGCAAGGGCCTGCGGCACACGAGGACACTTCATGACCCTCGCGCACATCGCCCGTGCGCGGTCGGTCGCACCCGCTGTGGGAGAGCAGGCATGCCGCGCCGGATCGGGCGGACGGAGCCGCCGTAGCAGCTCGTCCCAGCGACGAGGATATGGATCGCGATATGGAGGAAAGGAACGCGATATGGAGGAAAGGAACGCGATAGGAGGATATGGACGAGGATATGGATCGCGATATGTCGGTCCGAACTCTGATCGCGATATGGAGAAAAGGACATCTGGCCTTCTCGCCGCAGTCTGAAAGCGGCACGGACGTGGCCGCCCCGTCACTCCCTGGGCTCACTCAAGACCAGTTTCGCCGCCCGCGACGAGGGCAGGCGGCAGCCCGACAGGGACACCCACAAAGAACCAGCAGACATTTCCCGATGTTGTGAATGCTCCTGGAAGTCTCTGGGGACCTTTGGAAAATGCCAGAGACCTCCGAGAGGAGGCGAGAGGGCGCTCGTGGCATCTTCAGCAGGCCAACGGGGGTGCCAGATAAGGCCTTCCGAACAATTCGGCAACCTCCTCTCATGCAATGCGCGTTTTTCACACACTGCCGCTTGAGCCCGTGAGGTCATCGAGCCACCCTGTCGCCTGCGCGGAGCCCTGGGCCCGGGCATGGGCCAAGTCGAAAGCGGCGCCTCCTCTCTATCCGCCGTCGAGGAACAAACCTGGACTGCCACCATGCGCTAAAGCTTCGTGAGCTCAGTGCCGTCGCGTCGAAAGGCGTACGCGCCCCAGGATTCCGCTTTCGGGAATCCGAGGGCCATGGTCGCGACCTTGAAAGGTGACAGTGCTGGGCCGTACATGACGCCAGGGCAAACAGCTCCTCCTCCGCGGTTTGGTGCCCGCGAAGCAATGCTGCGCCTCGTTGGCACGCCGCAGAACCTGGAGCGGCCGCCGATCGGCTCGGCGCGTCGCGCCGCGACGGTGGGCAATGCGCTCAGCCCAACACGCACCCCAACGTCTCAGTGTCGGGGCCGGCATCCATCTCGGCAGAGTCCTTGCTACTGCTGTCCTGGGTGGTCAGGTCGTTGGTATCGTGAGCGAGGGCGCTGCAGCGGCGATGGTATAGCCTGTGACGCAATCACTCCTGCAGTGTGAGCAAGCCCCGTCGGTGGCACACCCCACAAGTCTTACACCGCTCGCTTGCCCGTCTGCTGCCACATGCCATTGCTTCCAACGCCCCATCTTCCTTCATCAGGCCAGCCCGTCGTGAGGTTCAGAGGGTACGGCGAAGGGCATCGGCGCCCATGCCCTGTTCCATGCAGCGCCATTGCTTGCAGCCTCTAACCTGTTGCCAAAAGTAGCGGGAGGCTGGGGAGGAGTCACAGGAGGAGAAGGAGGAGGAGGCGGAGGAGGAGGAGGAGGAGGAGGAGGAAAAGGGCAAGGATGATGAGAAATGGAGGAGGACGGGGAGGAGGAGGAGGAGGAGGAGGAGGTGGAGGAGGAGGAGGAGGATCCCCCAATCCCCTGGACGCTCCTAGCCACGCCCCACCCACACACAAATACGAAACATCCTCGTCCTTCCTCCTCCTTCTCCTCCTCCTCCTTTTACTCTTTCTTCTTCATCTTGTCTCTCTCTCTTTCTCTCTCCACTCCTCCTCTCCTCCACTCCTTCCCCTGCATGAAGAGGGCCATGAGGAGCTTGTCAGGAGCTTCTGCGAGCGCGCGCTGCTGGTCGGCAGCAGCCTCGGGAGGCGGCGTCACAGTGCTGGAGCCGCCAGGATCCTCGCCGCAGGAGGCGGTGGCTGAGGATGGGCAGGAAGATTTTGGTGGTGATGGTGGTGATAAGTACGACGAGGATGATGATGAAGATGAGCTGGAGAAGGAGGGGGAAAAACATAATCCCGCCAGGTGGTTTCACGAGTTTTGTCTTTTCTCTGCCATGCTTCCTCCATTCCCTGCTCGGGGGAGGGGTTGACCGCTCCCCCTCCCCCCCCCCTGGGCCTGGAATGGGGCGCCCTGCGAGGGGTTAGAGCGTCCAAGATGGCCCAAGATGGCGCCAAGAGGGCCGCTGAGAGCACAAGATGACATCCAAGATAGTTCCAGATAGCTCAAGCTGGGTCAACATAGCCTCCGGTACAAATCCAAAACCTAAAGACGGCCCCACAACAGTTTCAAGTGCTCCTCGAGCCCTCCGAGGACCTCCCAAAGAAACCCACATAGCTCTAACACCTGCGGAACAGCATTGTTTTTTTGCGTTCGCACCTTTTCGCCTCCGATTGGCTTTTGCAGCCCCCACATGGCCCCCGAATGGCCCAAGACAGCCCCAATATGAGCCCATGAGGGCACCACGAAGGCTCAAAGAGCGTCCAAGAGCACCCCAAGAGCGCCCCAAAAGGAATCCAAAACGCTATGTTCGAGCCTCCGGTGGGCAGGACCTGAATTCATTACCCCCGTCTTTTTGAGCCATGGGGCCCGAGACGGCTCCAAGAGACCTCCGAGCCGCCCCTGGGCAGGCCCACAATGGCCCCAAAAAGGCCCACAGAGAACCCCAAGAGGGCCTCGAGAGCGCCCCAAGAGGTTCCACGAGGACCCCAAGGAAACCCCAAGATGGCTCCAAGAGACATCCGAGAAAACACTTCCAAGGCGGTTGTTACATTGCACTCTTCTACGCTTTCCTGATCAAGGCAACTCGCCTGGTGATCTGCTTCTGGATGGGCTGGTGACTATACTTTTTCCGTCGCGGCCGCAGGCGATCGCGCCAGCAACGTCAGAGGTCGGGCGGGCTACGCGCGAACCTAATTGCCCAGCGCACGGGGACCGACGTCCGAACCTAAGCTGCCTAAGCTGTCTAAGCTGCCGGGCTGCGCGAGGTGGTGCCAGGAAGCGGGGCAGGGCCCGAAACCTTGCCGACGGGCGATGCAAGCTGCAACCAGGGCCAGCATCCGGGGGCAGTGCCGCTGCACAAATTGAACCAAGGAGCTATACGCAACCAAAATGGCGCGGCAAGGTCACAGACAACGAAGCTGACAAGTGACCGCTGAGGGCGTGTCGGGAAAACCGCACGAGGGATCCATGCACACAGCCCCTGAAAAGGGGGCAGCTCGCTGCAATGCGCTCCAGGAGGTAATGCTAACACAAATTGCCAGGAATACGTCACTGACCAGGAACCAGTACAAGTGGCGCCACCGAAGTCGCACACTCACTCCTGAGAGAAAAGATCCGGGGCAATCCCCTCTCCGAGGACGAGAGGAAGAACCACCCAGGAAAACGATGGAAGGGATCGACACCGAAAACCTGAACGGATCGGCCGCACGCCTGATGCTGCCAATCAGGAATACGACTGATAAGGTCGAAATCGAACGCCTGTACGGGATGACAGCACGCATAGAACTGCCAAGTGAACTGCCGATAGCAAGGCTAAGCACCTCACCCAAAACAGCTGCATTAGCGTGGCAAACGCCAGAAGCGAACTGGGAACGTCCGCTGGTGAGTATACTTTTTAGTCAACGGCCGCGGGCGGAAGCGCCGGCGGCGTGTCAAGTCGAAGCGGGTACGCGCCGCAAACTTATTAACAGTAGAACAGGGGCACAGTACTGCCAGAGTGCGCATGCAAGAGGCCGAGGCGGAAAAGGCAAGATAAACGCGGGGAAAAAAACAACAGAGCGACGGGCGAGGCGACAACTAAGCGCGGCCGAAGCCTCAGAGGGGGGGCTGCCGGGGCTGAGCTGAGGGGAGCTGCCGTGTGCACAGCAGCAAGTCAGTCTGCTGTTGAGTATACGTTTTTCGGTCGCGTCCGCTAGCGAAGGCGCTAGCGGAGTCAGAAGCGCTACGGATCACGACAAGTGGTGAGTATACGCGAAGCGTCAAGAATCCCACCAGACCTCTGGGCGCAGATGGTCTAGGGCGTTTCCTTTTCCAACCTCCTTCCTTTCCCTGCTCGGGTGGTTTGCCTTTCCCCCCCCCCCCCCCCCTCCCTGCGTCTGGACGGGCTCCCCCGCGATGTGCCAGAGGGTCCTTTTTGGTCCAAGATGGCTCCAAGAGGGCTTCAGAGAGTGCGAGATGGCCTCCAAGATGGCCCAAGATAGCGGTAGATGGCTCAAGATAGCCTCCGACGCGCATCCAAGAGGCCTCAAGACGGCCCCTAAGACGGTTTCAAGTGCCCTCCGAGCCCTCCGAGGACTCCCCCAATAGGCCAACATTTGTCAAACACCGTGGGGACATCTATGTGTTTTTTTTTTTTTTTTTTTTTTTTTTTTTTTTTTTTTTTTTTTTTTTTTTCTCTCGTCTCGCTTTTTCGCCTCCGATGGGCTCTTGAGGCCTCAAGATGGCCCCAAGACAGCCCAATATAGCCCCAGGAGGGGCCCAAGAGGGCCCCAGAACGGCCCCAAGAGCGCTCCAAGAGCGGGCCAAGAGAGCCCCAAGAGGGCACTGTTCAGCCTCCGAAGGGGGGGCAGGAACTCAGGACCCCCATCTTTTTTAGCGATAGGGTCCAAGACGGCCCCTAAGAGGAAGGACCTAAGATAACCTCAAGAGTGCCCTAATAAAGAGCTCCAGGAGGGCCCCGAGAGGGGCCCGAGAAAAACCCCAAGAGAGCCCCAAGAGGGCTCCAAGTTTCGAAGCGCACGCGAGTTTAAGATACACATCAGTGCAGCAGCCATTGCGAGTCACCCCTCATCAAAACACTATCGTAGCTTGCACTGATTTCCATCTTAAGCGTCAATGCGGGAAGCCATTTGTGATCGTTTTTCTCCCGAAGACGGCTGCGCAACTGCGCGCGTCCTGCCGCCCCTGATTGACCGACTCCCCGCGTTGGTCGCGGCCGCCGGCGAAGAGCGCAGGCGGCGAACAGGGTGTCCGGGCCGACGGGCAAACCTAATTAGCTGCATGGCGCAGCACGAGCCGGCTGGGCCAGCCGCAAAAGCAGCAGCTGCGGCAGCGGCGGCGGGGGGGTGGCTGGCTGAACTGCAACGCCCAGGGAAGCTCGGGCATCGTGCAGCCCTGTGGCAAAATGCGAAGGAATTCTGTGTCACGCGCTGCGGCGTCGGTCCACTCCGGTGGAGGTGCTTGTCGGGGCAGGTAGGGGTAACCTGCGCGTGCGATCCTCGCAGACACGGTGGAGGGGAAAAGGCTAGGTACGCACTGGTCGAGTCGCCAGGGGGCGCCAATGGCCAGGGCCGTGTCGACGGCGTAGACCTGCCAGGTCGGCTGGGGCGGAAAGAGGATGGAAGCGCAGCGTCCGACGGAAGGCTGGGCCACTCCGAGACGCCGCGCACGTATCCAGTGGGGCACGCCAGTCCCGAGCAAATGGCAATGAACCGGCCCGAAGGCGATGGCGCCTCTTGGGCCGGCCCATGGCCGCACAATCGCGACGTGAGCATCGCAGAGAACCGCGTGTTGCGCGGAGAGGAAGCCTGACTGGCGGGGATGGGCGCCGCCAGCGCGGTCGGGGAAGTAGGGGCCCGGGGCGACAGTGCCAAGGGGCGATCGCCCACGCTGCGATGCAGGGTCACGGGGTCCTTGACAGGCCACCCTGCCTGTGTGGGGCCCTCCACTGGTGGGGGCGGCGGGGACAGACATCGCCGGCCGGCTGCGTGGAGGGGCCCGCCAGGGACAACCGGCACCAGGATAAAGAAAGGGATAGGGGCGGGAGCCGGGAGCGGCCGCCGGCCGCACCGATACGTATGGAGTACACGTCTGGGGGGGCGTGCCCAGGGAGCGGCCGACGGCCGCGCGGGCACGTGTGGCAGTCCACGTCCAGTGGAACGTGTAGGGTCATTTATCCTTCCACGGTTGTGCTGCCATCGGGCACCCACCCTGCCGGGACAAAGTGCGAGCAGAGCTTCCCGCAGGGTAGCACTGTCTACTGTTGGCCTGCTGGTCCCAGTGTCGGCGGCCTGCCGGCATCGCTGGCATCGCTGAGCTGCGGCTGCTATGAGGGGATAGGGACGTCCCACGGAGGCTGTCGCGCTTCGCCCTTGCCAATGGGCACGCCTGCAACGCCGAGGAGCTGTCCCGCTCCTGCCGCGCGGCCGCCCGACTGCCAGGGTCTGCCGGGCCCCCGCCAAGCGCCGACGGCGTGGTCAGCCTTTGGACCAGTGCTGGGCCCTACCCGCGCCTGCTTCCAGGCAGGGGGGGAGTGTCGGTCTCGTCGGTTCCGCTCGGGAGGAGCAGCCAGGGGTGCGGCTGACGGCCGTTTGCCTTCTTCAAACTAGCTGCTGCCAGGGCGGTCAAGGGGCTCTACAATCACGAGTCGGGTGCACAAGGGGGTGAGATGTGTCGGGCGCCGAGGGGCGGGCCCCGTCGGGGCGCCCGAAAGTGGTGGCGCGTGGGTTGCGGCGCCCGTGCGTCGCCCACGCGCATCTAACCAGCTGAGGCTGTCTAGCAATGCTGCGCCGGGGGGGGGCGGGGGAGTCCCCCTGCCTCATTGCGCCAGTGGCGGTCTGGACTGGGCCCTGCTGCGCCAGGGAGTTGATGGTGCCGCCTGCTAGGGCCGAGGAGTCAATGTCTGCAAGATATCCTAATAAAGTACTGGTCGCATGGCGAAAAGGGTTGAGGCCTTGCTGTTCCCCCAATCTAGCGATATATGCCTGCCACTTGTCCGCGCGCGCGACATTCTGTGAGAGGTGGAAGACGACCCGGGCGGCCGCTGCCCTCTGGCCGTCCCAAGGGATGTCGGCAGGGTGCCATTCCGCTGGGATCGTTTGCCCGTAGATGCTGACCAGGAAGGGGCTCAGGCTGCTGGGGGGCCAGGACTCTTCATGGGTCTTATCACCAAGGATCCC